GTTTGCGGATGCGCTTGCCAGTTGGCCATGCAACTCACTTGCACTGATGTGTTGGGCGCCGTGGGCCAGACCGTTTCATTTTTCTTCTTTTTTCCCCTCCTCCTCCTCCTCCGTGCAGGCAGACATGGCAAGGCCTCGTTCAGGCGCTTGCCCTGCCCATTGCTTTTAATGCTCGGCGCCTTGGCAGGGCTGCCGGTCGTGGCGGACTCCGCTGTGGGTTATGTGGCATTGCGTGGCCTTCAATAGCGTGTCTTGATCGCAGGCCGCGACAGGCGGAAAAGAACTGCCTCGCCCGGGAAACGAGGGCCACGGCGGCGTGTGTGCTCCGTCGCCGTCAATTTGGCGTTTTTTTTTTTGTGGTGATGGATTTAGTTGGAATTGTTTTTTTTCTCCCCGCCCGCAGAGGGCGAGGCTGTATTTGGCGGTAATGCGTATGTTGCATGTGAGGGTTATTCGTTCCTGTATGTGTGCCAGTTTTGTGAAGGTTTCATTTATGTATTTATTTGTTTTTGGTTTTTGAACTCCTCTTTTGTTTGGACCTGCTTTTTTTTTTGAGCCAGCACCGTGTGGAGGAGGCCTGGATACTGCGCAGTGGATGCGAACCCTTCACATAATGTATAGGAAAAATCACGTAATTGGGTTGGATTTGGACATGCTGAGAACTATAACCATGCGTCGGTACCCTCCACCTGTGTTCTAGGCGGGGTGCGGTATCGATGGGTGGCTTTCTTTGCGAATAATCTTCCAGGTGACTCTTCCTTTTACTGCCTTCCTTTGGTGAATCGGCGTGGGTCTGGGAAACACCTCTTGGGCGCTTGTGCTCTATCTGTTGCACGAAAAAATGTGGGGCTTTTCTATGCTTCGATGTTGCTGAGTGTTGCGTTGAGGGTCTTTCACGTTTGAGTCTGTGTTGTTTTGCTGTGCTCCGCGTTGGGACCTACCAAGTTGCCCTTCATCTCTCTCATCATCTCCGTGGCCGCGTTCTCGTTTCTCGTTTATTTCTTTCTCGCTCTTGCTTTTGGCATCCGGTGTGGGGGGAGCGCCAGCTAGAAGAGAGACGATTTGTTGATATTACCTGAAAGAGCGAAGCAGATAGGCGGAAGGATAAGACGCAGGGGACGGGCAAGGTGAAGAGGAAGGAACCACATAGAAGAGAAGAAAAAGGACAGGAGGAGGTGCTTTGCTCAGGCGACTGGGAGCGGCGGGAGGCGCCAAGGAGAGGGAAGGGGGAAGCAGAAGTGCCCCTCGAACTCATCTGTGCTGTCAATACTTTTGTGGCAATTGGTGCTGCCACTTCCCACCAGCGTGTCAGTGGCAGAGAGTCAGCGTCAATTACAATTGGAGGAAAGTAATACATATATTTATAG